AAAAAAAAAAAAAAAAAAATAATTAAATACAACTGATCAACAACTTCTAAATTAAACCTACCATGATGAGCAACGAATCAAGTGTCTTATTTAATCCATTTAGATCGTGTCTTATGCCCGCACCCTGACTTCCCACATCATCCAAGGATGAAGGCTAATAAAAAAATGAAGATAGAGGTTTTAAGCTCAACATTAAGTCATCTAAAACAAATGTTTAAAATTAGCATCAATACCATAAATTATACCTCTACATATTGTTGCCAAAAACCTTTTATTTCCACAATCATAGCACGATTCGTCTTGGTGATATACAATCTGATTTCTCTCCCCATTAGTCTCTTCTCTTCTATGGGGCAAATTTTTGAAACGAGCTTTTCAGCTTCAACGTACAATTCCTCAACCGGAAATTTCTTGACCACCTACGGTAATTGATATCATATACACAGAATAGGCCCAATCAGAGACGAATAACAAAAGATGCGAAGATGGGAAATGCTAGGACAATAGTGATAGGTGACACTTCTTTACCTCAATCTGTTTTTCAATGAAACGTTTTGAAATTGAAGGGGCGAGCATTTTTCCCTCTGCTTCCGCAGCTTTTTTTTCCCGCTCATGATCATCATCCACCTGAGCCATAACTTGAAGAAGAGCTGAAGCCCTATCGCTAGCCTTTGTTCGCTGGTAACATAAAACCTGATAACAACACCACCTTACAATTAATCGAAATCATATGCAAGAGCTATATAGAATAGAAGTCCAAAATAATGAACATGGTAACAACTGTTTTGCTCATACCAAATTTAATGTGTGTGTGTGTGTGTGTGTGTGTGTGTGTGGTGAATCAAGTATTGAATACCTAAGTATCTAACATAATATCTTACCCCATCAGCAATTTCAAATGAGACACATGTGACATAATGTTCCTTATCGTACTCAGGAGTCTCTATACTACTGATCACCCCATTATCTTTTAGCATATGAGCTAATCGAAGAAAGACCGTTTCCAGATTAGCAGCTGCAGGGTCGTTTTCAAGTTTTAATGGAATTCCCGACTTCTGGAATAATATATAGTTAACTAATGTTAAATTTCATGAAAAAGACAGTGAATAAGAAGGACATGCATAAATTTACTACCTCACATAAGTCTTCGAGTTGTCGGAGAAGCAAATCGAGCATATCTACCGTCCACTTAGCGGCGTTCACAAGAGTGAAACAGAGTGATTCATCCAAACTCACTTGGGCAAGGTAATTCTACCCAAAAATTCAAAGAAAGCAAAATAAATAGACAAATAAATGGAAGAACCTAGGACTTGTCATTGATTAACACTCACATGTACTTGGCTTTTTTTGGACTTAATCTCGTCCTCAAACTGCTTGAGCTTAGTAACTTTGGAAAAGCACTCGCC